AGTATGTTTGTTGGAGAACATTGATGAACAAAGAGCATCATAAAAACCAAGGAACACACGAATCAGGTCAGAGATAAAGCTATGGAGGAGTTTGACGCAGAGTTAGGCTATAAAGCTGCAAGACCGGAGATAAACGGAGGACAATTCCTTCGTTTGTTGGAAATGTCCAGACTTAAATTTTTTTGGTCTGGGTCACTCTGGGTTAGGAGTTGAACATCACTATTCACAGATATTCTTCAATAATTTGATAAATCATCAGCTGTTAAGTATCTATTACTCTACTGATAACCTGCTAAGTCTTTAATTTGAAAAAAACTAAACAAAACAAAAAACCTCTGAGAACTTTGTCTCCCTCGTGTCTCATTCTAAGGGGTCAGATTATCCTTGGCTATCTAGTTATACTGCTACAGGCTTAAGCTGCTGTGCACACTTTTCTTCCCTTTCTTCTTCTATACTGTTCAAATTGGATCATTAGCTTTTAAAACTGTTAACTTTATGTCAGAAGCTACACCTGGTCTGGGGTTTTGTTTGTCTGTGACACTTTTCTGGAGACGGGCACCGACTCCAGAAACCATCGAACCAGATTTGCAGAGGTTTTCCTCATATGACCCCTGATTTAGTTGTATTCATCTGAGCAATTAGAACATAAAGTATATCTACATGTGTGACTTTAGCAAAGTCAAATATTGTGAAGTAATCTATCTGAAGCTCACACTATGTTGTCCTTTTTGAGTTTTCCCAAAATGTTTAATCCTAATTACTGTGAACTTCTAACTATGGAAAAAGTTATGAAAAAAACTTGAGAAAAACTGCATGAGATAGACAACACACCGGGACTTTTAATATGACTGACCCTCTGTCGTCCTAATATTAATAATCCATCTCTATTTTTTTTATTTATGCGCTGTTATGATGTCACAGGTCTCAGTTCATCCCTTAGATTTGGTTCTTAGTTTCTTTCTGTGCCTCATTGGCTCAGTTTGGTTTTCATTTATGGTTATATTTTTGTTAATTCCTTGCTGATCATTCACTTAGATTTTGCTCACTAATTATTATTTATTGTGTATTTAGCATAATGTTCTTTGGATGTTTCTTTCTGTTAGTGTTTTTTTTAAGTTTCAGGGCTTTCTGCCTTCCTCAGTTTGCCAGTATGCATCTCTTCCCAGTTGTTTCTCTTCTCATTTCCTATGCTGTCCCTCTCCCCCTGCTACTCACCTCTGATGAGCTCTTCATGTTTCCTTGTCTCTGCCGCCTCACCCTCAGTATTTAAGCTCCTCATTCTCTTTACTCACTGATGGATTTTACCGTTGTCGTCCCGATTCCTCTGTGCAAATCTGCAAACCCCATAGATTTAGTCCCTGGTTCCCTCCAAAGTATTGTATGTCTCCTTTGTTTCCATAAAAAAAACTTAATTAATTTACTCTAGTGGATCTCTGCTCTTGGGTGCTTAAGCACAATACTTTCCCAATATGACAATACCTTCATTTTAATGAGTGGTTATTTGATCTCTGCTTTTTTAAAAATCATCTCACCCCATTGGATATTTTCTCCTTTTCACACTACTCTCTATGAACAGGTTGAAACAGTTGTCTGAGGTCATCAGAAAGCACAGAGGTGGAAGTATCATGAAAAGCAGAAAGAGAACTATGGTTGCAGATTGTGGTGCAAAATGATTCAATATACTGAAAATCCTGGAGTTAGCAAAGTAAACCACTAAATCTTTGCATAGTTGCTCAAATCCTTCAAGTGGTAGTTCCAGAAATGCTGTAGCATCAACAACCAATAACAGGTGATGCTGCCCTGTCTTCACCCACATAGCCAGCTCCTTTCTGCTGTCTATAGTATTCTGTCTGTCTCCTTTCAACACCACATGCTGTTTAAATCCAGGTGGAAACTGACAGATGACCGACTCAGTCTGTGTTCATGTGCACTCACACATAAAAAGCTATTCACAGTTGGCGGAGGAGAAGATGATGGATGCAACACGAACATCTTCCAATGCCAAACAGAATGATGCTGGAAAGACAATGTAGTAAAATAAGATAATAACAATTATGAATTGAATCTGCTAAAAAAATTAAAAATCAGCACTACAACTCTTTGCTGACTGCAAGGACATCATTAATTATGCATCATGTAAACATGAGAGGTTACAGGAAGGGACTGCACAGATTTGTTGTGCTTTTAAACAACAAATCCCACCAACTTCAGTTCAGACATGAAGATTCTGAATGCATGGCTCTCGGATGATTATTTTACATTTTTTGCCATTGAAGTAGCTATCTGTGATGTGGACATACCATGAATTTGCTGCTCTGATGTATATTTGTTTTCTCGGCAGGCTGTGGGTTGATGAGGTTTGAAGCTGGGCCTGTCAGGGTCTGGGGTTGGCTGTGTTAGTTTTTTATTTGTTTGTTTGATCAGTGTTTGTGTTCCTCTGCTTTTTTAAAAATTAGTTCTGCTTTGTTTCCATTTCCACTTCAGTTCTTCCTAAGTGAATCTAGTCGTGTTTATTTATTGTTGTCGTCATTCTTTGCCACTCAAGTTTAATTATGTTTCTTCAGTCATTCTGCAGTGTTTAGGTTAATTTAATTTTCTGTGTCTTCTCCCTCGCCCCCCGGTGCCACTCAGTTTGCCTCCTGATCCCTTCACACACACCTGGAGACACTTTTCTTCCCTTTCCATCAGCCTCGGTCTTTTGCTCAGCGTTCTACCTCCAGAGTATTTAAATACTTCATTCTCAGTCGCTCCTTGCCGATTCCTCTCATCTACTCCCTTCTTTTCCGTATGTCCTACTCATGTCTCCCTGCTGGATGTTTTCCTATGAATCTTTAGTTCTGCCTTGCCTACCTATAATGTTTGTTTTTCATAATTTTTTCATTAAACTACTATTCTTCAGCGCCTCTGCTGCTCTGTATTTGGATCCATTCAAGCACATTATGACAGTGCTGCTCCAAAATGATGCCATTTATGTCAGGAATCTCCTGATTCTTGATGATCTCTCTCATCAAACAACAATAAAAAAAAAACTTGCTAAGTGTCTGTTTTTTGTGTGGTCATTAAAAATGGTGGTAATAAATGTTCTTGGATGTTCACAATACAAATAAAAATGAATGTAGGAAGCGGAGCAGCACCCTTTGACAAATTAAGATCAAACTAAATTCCAGTTTTACCTGTTGATTAAATTCTTGAAAAATGCTGAATTAATGCTGTATCTTTATACCTTATCTTGAACCGTAATTAATAACTACCTGCTTCATTGCGCAATGCTGTGTTACAGCCATCCTGACATAATCCAGATTACATGTCAGTGGAGAGCAGAGATTACCACACCATCACGAGTGATTTAGGATTTATCACACTGATGAGACGCTGGTGTTTCTTCTCCACTCAGAGGTGGTAAAACGCAGACAGAGGTGACGATCTGAGGGTTAAACCTTTACACTGAAGTGAGTTTGGCTCCGAATCCAAACATCACTTCCTGCTGCTCACAAGGATCAATTCATATAAACTAATATGATAAATTAATACACAAAAAATTACACACGCTTCCAATTTTCTGTGCTTTAAATAAATTTTTGAAGACAAAAACAAAAGTTAAGAATGGTTTTGTTTCAAATATTTTTATGAAATGTTTAAATCAAGTTTGGGTCACAACTCCGATGCAAAAATGTGTGTATTTTTTTTGTTTCTTGAGATCCTAATGTGACACTAACATATTCTTTACGAAAATAAAACATTCTCCTGAAATTATACAATTTAATATCAGAGCTTCAATATTAAGCCATGATAGTATTTAACTCAATATACGAGCTTAATATATAAGCTTATATATACATATGTAGCTTCAATGATGGGCCTCAGAAGATAGGATTAAATTTTGACTTTATGACTTTTCTGTGGTGTTACATTTTACATTTTTTCTGACATGAGCTAAAGAAAGTGGACTCCAACATTTGCCTTTCTTTCCACACACCCATCTGCCATCTCTCAATCCTGATTTGCAACTGACTGAAACTCCAAACTAGGAATCTGTGTTTTCTTTCTGTCTGCTCAAACTTCTCAAACACTAAGTCAGCTGCAGCAGATGGAGGCCCAAACGCATCCTGCACACTGCCGGTTCCGTCTTGTAAAAAGAAAGTTGTTCCTTTCCACTGTCACCACATGCCTGCTCCAGACAAAAGATTGTGACTCCATGCAGGTGGCTGGATTTTCTTAGATAATGTTAGTATTTCAAACTGAAGATGACTTCATTGCATTATAGCATGGATCAAACTGAACTGTGTGTAGCTGAATTTGAATCTGTATCATACCTGGAATGATTTGACTATATTTCCTAGTTCTACTAGAATTTGATAAAATCTGTAAATGAAGCATATGCACAGAACAACTTAAGTTTCTAACCACCCAAATGAGGAAAGATTCTCTTGGTTTGGAATTGTGAAGGTCCAGCCCTGTTATGAAATGTTGACATATTTCCATGATATAAGAAACAGCAGAGCAGTGGCGCCCACACACACACACACACACACACCACCACACACACACACACACACACACACACACACACACACACACACACGCACAGTTCTTGTTTTTCTGCTCCATCTGGGAGCTGTCTGCACTATCAGCTATAATTAGTAGATCACATCTCAGGCCACCTGTTACCTCAGAGCTGCAGGTGTGGTAAGGTGAGCTCGAGTTTAGTCTGGGAGGGAAACCTACTCAGCTCTCAAAAAGCAGCAATAATTTCAACAAACAATGCACACTTATCATTACCAGCGGGGAAACTTGCAGTGCACAGAAACTGACGGTGAAGATCCACCTGCTCACTGTGCAGACTGCTTCAAACGCCTCAGTCTTATCGAAAGCTGTCGCTGTCCATGGTAGCAACCTTCCCCAAGAGAGGCAGGCAGTAAGCATATAATCAGGCTCCTAGAGGAGCAGCAGCAGTTAAACCCTTGGTTTTCCTGAAAGCATTCCCACAGCCGGTTACTCACTCTCTGTGATCTTCTGCAGCCCCAGCACATCCTCTGGTGTTATCACTGTGTTCTTGCGCAGCTCCTCTTCGGTTCTAACCGGGATGCCCATGTCTGATGAGTTGCAGCCCTGCTGCACTTTCATGTCCAGCCGACGAGGATCGCAGCCGGGAACTGACCGAGGCTCTCTTCCTCTCGGCGCACGAACAGATTCACTTTGCGCCGGAAGCCTTCAGAGGCGCGATGTCGAGCAAGCTCTGCGCTGTTACCAGAATAACTCGTTCCCCATGCCTCCTCCTCCCCTCCACGATCCAGTAGGAAATAAAAATCAGCTCTCTGCTCCCTCCCTCCTTCCTCTCCTCCCGGGCTCATCGGCTCTTTCACAAGCTATTTAATCCAAATCCCGTTTTAAAGCGAGCGCGGTGCGCTGCTGCTCCACTTCACCACCAACGCTGCCTGCCGGGAGTCTTTTCTCTTCTTGACTTTGCGTCATGGCCGCACTCAACAGAGTGGGTGAAGTGAAACATCACAATGTTCTTTCTCTGTTCTTCTAATTTATCAAATGTTCACCCAAGTCCAATTTCTCCCTCCCTGCCCCCACCCCCAAAGTTTTAAATGTGCCAAAATAGAATAAAATAGGCACTTTTCCCCCCCACCTTTATGTTATGCTACATAGTTATTTCCTCATCAAAACCACACATTGCTTTGATTCCTTACTGCATGTCTGAGAGATCCTTGAATCTCCTTCTGCAGCCATTCAAGACTGTCTAAACAAATTGCTCTCCCAAAGCGCCACCTACTGCCACAAGGCTCCTCCCCGGAGCTGCAGAATCCAGCCAAGCTTCCACCTCAGCAGCAATTAGCAAATACCTGGTGGGATGGTGCATCTGCTGAGGTCATTATAGGAACTACCTCTCAGTCCTATGCGCCTCAAAACAGCTAGAAACAACATAATTGAGGACTATTGTTGTGATGAGCCTCTCAAAGACACAGGGGCCCAATTTCAAGGTATTAATTGCAAAGTCAAATTTCTTTTAAGTGATATTTTTACAACACCTGAAGTTAGCATAGACTTGATTGTGCAATGAAATGACCCCCACCCTTCAATAAGCGCTTTTTGCATTTCATTTGTTCTGGATGAAAAAGACAGTAAGTCATCTTTACATTTAGATACTATAAGGCTGCAGACGTACAGCCTTATAGGTGACATCTTATTTACAGGAGACATTTTACTGTTTTCCTCTGATTTATGACAGCTTTTAATTTAAATGCAATGCTGTTTTAGCAAGTGAGCTGCAGGACTCAGTGCTTTTGAGATGATAACACAATACTTAAAGAGAGCTCACAAGAAGAAATTTAGTTAGTTAGTTAGTTAGTTAGTTAGTTAGTTAGTTAGTTAGTTAGTTAGTTAGTTAGTTAGTTAGTTCAATGGGAAATTAAACCTTTCAGCTGAAATACAGGAATTGGTTTATATGGAATTGATCATTTTGAGGCTTCACATTGAAATTTTAAAAACTGCCTTTGTCCACAGTTACTCTTTGATAGTACAAAGTAAATATATGAAAATAATTATGCAATGTTTTGCTTATGTAAGGTATATATATTCCGATGCAGTCAATTTATTCAAAAATATAAACACAGATATAGATGTAACCAAAATACTGATGAATTGTATCAACTCAGCTTGCAAAATAACATCTTGGCCTCTTGCCTTTAAATACAAACTTTAAAACAGTTAAGAAAAATGGAAAACAACAACAACAACAACAAAACAAAACAAAACACTAGTTTTGAGATATTTATTTATTTATTTGGTTTCCATTGGAAAGTTTTCAGATGCCAGCATCCCTGAGAAAATGTAAAATGCAAAACTTCGGGACAGCTTCATTCATGTGGGAGGAAACAAGCTGGAAAAAAGTTTCAAGTCCAAGCAATCACAACCTTTGTGAAGCTTTCTTCTTACCTGTGAGACACTGGTTAATTCTTGGAGATGAGGAGATAGTGCCTCCCCCTGCCTTGCAAACTTACTGCAGTGCGGATCTGAGAGCTGTCCATGGTAGTGCTCTGTGATTAACCTTTCTTTTGAATAATAGTGGATCCTCAGAGAGGGGGAAATATCCTGCTGCACAGGCATCATTGGCGTCATTTCAGCTTGGATAGCATAAGCAAGCAGGTAAAAATTTTAATCAAGTAATTTTAATGCAAAAAAAAACAAAACAACAACAACCTTGTAACACATGCTATTAATACTCTATCATCCCCAATTCAGACACAGGACAAAATATGTTTTTTTTTTATTTTCGCTGTCTTATGGGTGAGTGTTCCTTCTGGGGTTTTTCTCACAGAGTGATTCACTGACCTTCATACTTTCAATTGTTTCGTTGAGCGTAATAAAAGAAACAAAACATGTTTAATTGTCCTTTAGAAGAACCTCCAGAGACAGATCCCAGCTTTCGCTGCATTTCTCCTGTTAACTTCCAGTCCGTCTCACTCTTCTATGCGCTCAGCTCAAAGCAGCCCCGGCGGTGCGTCTGCATGTCTCTCACCCTGCGGATGGACTGGATCTGGGGGTGGTGGGCTCCCCAATCGTTCCAGTGCTTGAAAGGTCCCAGTTCTAACACGTACTGGTAGCCACGGTAGCCAGGATGCTGATAACCCACCCACCTGTGTGAAGAAGCAAAGAGAAACAGATGATACTTACATTCATGCTTAGGTTTATGATCAATTTCAATGGATGTAATATGGTGCATTGCAAAAGCAATTTTGCACGTTGCACTTTTTCCAGTTTTATATCATTAAAACAACAAATTTCACTCATCATAGCATTTTATTGGGATTTTATATGACTGACCAACATGAAGGTTTGAATAAATGTGAATTTGAACATAAATTTTATATGGGTTTCCAAATGTTTTATAATTAAAAGTCTGAAAAGAGTGATGTGCATTTATATTTAAACCTCTTAACCCTGAAAATCTTAATTCAAGTTCAAAGCTTTTCCTTTACAATCATCTAATTAATAAAATAGAGAACATCTGTGTGTAATCTGACACTTGCATAACGTTGACTCTGATAGTCCTAAATACGAGTTCAATCATCTTCTTCCCAACTCATGTAATCATTAAACAGAGCTTATCTGTGTGTAATTTAATCTCTGTTTTAATCCAGCTGTTTTTTTAAAGCCTCAAAGCTTAGTTAGAAAACTTGAGTGAAAAGACAGAATTGCTAATATAAATAGACAGATACAGCTATGGAGATGTTTAAAGTGGGTTTAGGTGATAAAATAAAATCTCAAATTGGAAAAGTGTTGCTGATAAACCTACAAGACAAGGTGGTGCACCAAAACAGATGGTGGGCTAGACTCTTTGTGAAACTTTAAAATTGTAAAGAATAGAAACCGACAAGTAATTTTCTGTTCATTTTACAATTATACACTAGTTTCCTTGGCTCTTCTTTGCCAAATCCTTTTACTATGTATCAGTGCAAGAGCAAGTGTTAACATTGTGGCACAGATAACTGGTAAACCAAATAGACAAAAGTGGCATTAAGGAGAAGATTGGTAACGACTTACGTTCCACCGGTGACCTGAATGCTGGCGACACGATCCTGGAAACCATAGGACCACAAGCTTGGAATATCCTCATCACACACCTCCATCTTACGGCCTTCAAAGTTCGCACATTCATACAGACAAATCTTGTGGTCTTGTGGATCCTAAAAAAATACATTCGCCTTTCAGTGAGTTACCTCTTTGCTATAGATATGTTTGATCCTTTAAATAGAAAGCAAGGCTGTACATTTTAAAATATCACCTAAAAAAAACAAAAAACATAAACCATCTAAGTAAAAATAATCTCAAGCCTAAAAATACACTCTTGAAAACATCTAATCAAAAGCATAATGCATCAAATGAAAGTTGGATAGAAGAAAAAGAAAAAGTGATGGTGGTGATGTGATAAAAATAGTACGGTGACAACACACCATTCGAACGGGCCTGACTGACATCATGCGGTCACACCGGTAGCTGTTGGACCAGGTATCCCAGCGGGGGTACTCGCCCTTCTCGAGCATGAACATCTCACCAGTCATGTTCTGCTGCTCATAGCCAACCCAGCTGGATGGTCAGAAAGACAGGTATGTTAGCATATGTTGGGGATAATGTACACTTCACTAGGAAGCATCTCAGCAAAGGACCGGCATGATGGTTGTTATGTAATGTCACGGTCTGAGTATTTCCAAGACTGTTCTGATTCTTACGCACAACCATCAATTACATTCACACAGAATTGTCTGAAAAACAAAAAAAATTTTCTTCAAGCAGCAGTTTTGTGGATAGAAATGCCTTGTTGATGCCAGAGGGCAGAGGAGAACTGGCAGACTTTCTCAAGGTGACAGGATGCCAACATTAGATGAAATAACCAGCTGTTGCAATAACTGAATCTTGAATATATAACTACACAGTGAACCATTAAGCAGAGGGGCTAAAGAACAAACCTGCATCACCATTGTCAGCCAAGAACTAAAAATGTGTGTGGCCTTCCACATAAAACCCTTTGAAAATTAGGGTTTTATTTAATTCAGCAGGTTGTATCATCACATGAAGCCATTAATCACACCTCTTCTCCATTGGAGCTCCATTGGTGTCTCATTAACATCAACTACTCCTTAACTTCAAAGCTGTCCACAACCTCACGCCTCCATATATCTCTCTGATGTTTTTCTGATTTTTACAGCTCAGATCCTCTTCCTCCATTCATCTGACTGTGCCCCGCTGCTCGCCTCGCAGACCACACGGTCGCTCGCCCAGTGAGCTCACTAACACAAACTCACTGCCACATTCACCAAAACTGGACAATCTATGCTTAAAGAACGAGGGAAGTTCTGCAGGCAAATGGGGCTCCAGAGCAGTTCTCAAAAAGTGTACCGAACGAAGCATTTGGTGACTTTATATCACATTGAGGCGTAGTCTGTGATACAGTTTGGTGACTTACGGTCCACACTCCACCCTGATGGAGCCAATTCTGTCGAAACCCTTCTCACACAGATTAGGGCACTCTCCGAACAGGTCCATCCTGCGGCCTTGGAAGTTTTCATATTCATAGAGGTATATCTGGTCAGAAAAAAATGTCAATTTAGATTTTTTTAATTTGCTTTCTTGAACTATTTCCTGGTTTTTGAAGTACCTTGTGATTGCGCAGGCCAATGGCAGGGTGACTGCCGATGCTGCCCTGAACACCCGAGTGAGACATGATGAAATCTGAAGAGAAAGTGATAATATAAATCACCATTACATGCAACAAGGAGAGTTAGGAAGTGTGTCACAGTCTACTGAAGCTGTTTTCTTCAAATCAATGTGTGTTGAAACTGAGAGGCTGCAAAGCTGCTGAACCTCGTAAATATGATCAGGCTGTTTAGGTACAAACAAACGGTCGGCCTACAGCCTGGGGTCCCCTGATCTAACTCATCAAGATGCCTTTTTGGATGTAAGGATGGTGAAAATTCTTTATGCAACCAACAAAGTGCTCAAAAACTGAAATATGTTTTGTCTGTGCACACATGCATGCATTTAAAATCCTATCATATTTATAATTCTGCTTTTTTTAAGTTATACCGAAATTACTACAAATGTCTGCACAGAACTGCTGTTTTCCTGTAACTCTGGCCGCTCATGTTGCCCTGCTGCACCTGCAGAAATAAAATATGTCATTAAATATGGTTTTGTATCTCTCCTCTTGTGTTTAAGAAAGTGAAGACGTATAAAGCTGAGAAAGTTGCTCTTTTCTTCCCGAATTATGTTACACTGGACACGTCTTTAAATATCTACTGGAGTGAAATTTTTGCAACTGAAACATTTGTGGTGAGTAATAGAAAGAATCTGATAATTAAAATTAAGTGACCTTAAATCAATACAATAAAGAACCCTGAAAAAGCCTTTTCTGTTCTTGCATTCGCTTACAAGGCCTGAAACTCAAACAAAAGGCGGCCTGCGAAAACTGCCTGTGCACTCCTTTGAAAGAGGGTATAATCGATCTCTTCCACATATTTTATTTGGTCAGAATCATTACAATAACCCCATTATTAGAAAACTTCCATTTTCTGCTCCAAAAAGTGACATTATTTCTTGAAAACATTCTTGACATTCCTTGACGTTTTTTCTTAGCAAGAGCAATAGAAACAAATTTGTCACGTCTAGATCCAATTTCTTCTCACTCGTCCCTGTTGATTTTATCCTATGGTGGCAGATTAGTATTAAATAATACACTAATGTATTTTGTCTAAGTCATCCACCTCCTCAGTCCAAAGTTATAGCATGAGAAATAGTCTGGCTTGGTTGTTTCAGTCCGCTGAATGAGCAAACCAGAAAATCCTTCCTAGCATCCTTGCATTTCTACCAGACAGAAGACCTCGGTGTGGACACTTACAGTCACAGCTGAAGGCTGAAATGGAGCGATCTTTGAAGACAGTGATGGACGGAGGCCTTTTGACTGGGGATATATATATATAGACATTCACCTCCAGAGCGAATCGATAAAAGCCAAATTCTGACATCTCATTGGCTCAGAGCTGCTGGGAGAAAGGTGATGGGTCAAAGGTCACGTTGTTAATCCATTGGTGATCTGTGCTCAGTCAGCAGCAGGGTTTGTATTGTGTAGCCCCATTGTTGGGGGCTGAGGACAGTCACTGCCATCAGCAGAAAGTTGGTGACACACAAACCCACACTGAACCGTCAACTTTCAGGTTTTGAACCACATTTTTCCATTGTTGAACTTAACCTCCTGCCACTTCCAACAGCTATTATGTATATATTTTATGGCTTTTTTCCACCACATTATCTTTTTTCTTTTTTTCTTTCATGTTTGCTGCTAAGCCTTTCAGCCCTGGGATGGTAAATGTGCTGACGATAAGATTGGCATCTGTGTTTTTGTTCAGACAGAACCGGGACTGCTGGTCACGGTTCTGAAGTGCCCCTGTTAGGCCTATATTAAACTCACATACAAAAAATATTCAGAGAGCAATGAAAAAATGTAAGCATACTTTAAAAGCTTACATTTACAAGTATGCTTACTTTGAAACATACTTTAAATGTATGAAAGATATTTAAAAAGAAAGATGTTTTAAAATGTAAACTGAAAACAAATGAGTAGCTGAGACATGGTCAAGTTGAATTGACAAATTAAAACATCCAGGTTTTAGACAAACTGGTTCCAGAGAATAACAGCATAAAATAAATGCTACCTATTCTTTAGAGAGCACTTACTGAACAGGCCTCTAGAGGACCTAGATTTTTCACACTTGATTTGCGACTAACGGTTGGTCTGCTAAATACAACTTTTGTTGTCACACAGTCTGTCCTAACACATCTGTAGAATCATAAAATTCATAAATAGCAGCTTTTCTTACAACATGAAGTAGGCTAAAAGATCTCAGAAAGCAATACATTCAATATTAAAACACCATAGATACTTTTCAACCCTTTTAGTACACATTAGTAACAAAGGGATTAAACTGCTCATCATCACAATTCATTTGGTTCACATAAATTGATGACAAAATGTAATCTGACTGCCAATCATTTCAGAGGTATCACAGGCAGGATCCACTGAGAAATTAGAGTCAAATTACCAGAAAGGGAAGACGTTTTGGGAGTACTTAGGACTGAGGGGAAAAAAAAACACATAAAAAGTAACAAATACATATCGTAAACCACAGGATTAACTAAACTCCAAACCCTCCGGATCATGAAATAGAACATAGTGATCATGGTTAAGGTTCGTTATTGTTCTGTTTTGTCCTGAATCATATTATTTCACTGCTGGACAAAGAAATTTACATCAGAGTTTGGACACAGCTGGTTGACATGTTGCCATGCTTGACAGTGAAAGTGTCTGTGGTTTGTGTGTAAATGTCTGAACAGGGATTAAATGCGTGTGACTGTGTGTGTATCCTCCCATGTGGGAGTGAGTGGATGACAGAGCATGTGTGCATTGAGAGGTGAAAGGACTGTCTTTGGTGGGGTGTGATGCTATGATCGGTGACAACCACAGCGCGAGATGGACTTTTCTTGTCATGACCAAACTGTAATGATCTTTTTCCTGAGCTCTGCTGTGCCAGAACTCGGCCCGGCCCATTGGACACGAAACACTTGGAACTTCTGCTTATTTGCACTGGGCACAGTGCCCTCCGTTCAGTCCAGCTGCAGCTCACTAAAGCCCAACAGCTCAGTACCGAACAATGAATTGGACCAGCAATGTGCTGACTCCTGCCCCGACCCATACCGGTACAGTTACATCTCAGCACCAGCATGTATAAATAGGTCCGTTCAGTTTGGGGTCAGGACGTCGTTTTTTGTGAACTCCCTGTGAGAACTGAGCGCCAATCTTTGTTGAACAGTCAGGTAAGCCTTCTATCTTAGTTCTTAATCTGCAGACATGTGCCATTTTGTTTTTTGCACCTTTTCTGCACAATCACTCCGCTGAGTCATGTAGACTGAAGGCAGTGAGGAAGATGCACACATATGAACTATGCACCAGCTGCACACTTAGACATACAGTTTCCATCCAACCTGCAAGCATGAGGATGAAGTTTAAATCACAACATGTGGGTTTAGATTTATGTCCGAAGAAGTATTTTTTGTTGAAACTGCATTGATGTGAAATCTCTTAAATAAACATGAAACATAAAATGTAGGTGGCATAAATGAATATTAAAGTATGACCTCGCTATAAGCTTTCCTTGCATATTTTTTGTCCTAAAGGCAAATCTTCACTGAAATCCACAGTAGCATGGCTCTAAACAATCCCACCCCGCTGGGACCATGGAAGGTGAGTGAGCTCATTCGTCACTGGAGATTGCCAAAAGTGGATTTCATTTTTTTTTTAATTTCATGCCTAATTTAATAAAAGCCACCATGGTGCATGCACATGATTACTCTCTCTCTCTAGATCACAGTTTATGACCAGGAAAACTTCCAGGGAAAACGTCTTGAGTTCACCTCAGCCTGCCAGAACATCATGGAGTGCAGCATCGACAACGTCCGCTCCCTCAAGGTGGAGTGTGGGGCGTAAGTGAGACAAAAACAAGAAATGTTGATTAATAGTCTCCTTTAGCCTTTTTGTAAAATGATTTATTTGAGATGTTTGTATGACTGTGTGCTTGTCGGCGAACAGCTGGGCAGGATATGAGCACTCCAGCTTCTGTGGACAACAGTTTGTGCTGGAGAGAGGAGAGTATCCTCACTGGGAGTCGTGGAGTGGCAGCAACGCCTACCACATTGAGCGGATGATGTCCTTCCGGCCCATCTGCTCCGCTGTGAGTTTCTCTCCCAAATCGACAGCGTTAGCTTGCTCTCAGATCTTCAGCAATGACTATGTGATGAAAGAGTCGCAAAACATCCAAAATTGAACTCAAATGACTAAAAACTAAGACAAATGTGAACAAAAGTAAAAATGCAATCACCAGTTTGTAAAATGTAGCAGCGTTTTACCATAAACGTAGCTAAGCTGACTGTTTTGTGTGCAAGCAGAACCACAAGGAGTCCAAGATGGTGCTGTTTGAGAGAGAGAACTTCATAGGTCGCCAGTGGGAGATAAACGATGACTACCCCTCCCTGCAGGCAATGGGCTGGAGCAACAATGAGATCGGATCTATGCAAGTTCAGAGCGGAGCGTAAGTCTTCATTTCTAAATGCACACAATGCGATCATGGCAACTAAAGACATGACTGACAGCCCATGTTGTGCAGCAGCATTGTGCTGGAGGGGACAAACATTGAAATCAAGCTGGGCAATCTCAAGAATCTTTTCTCTGCTTAGTCATGAGGGATCCAAAGGGTGTGTGGTAAATAACGGAGTCTGGAATATAAATAAAAGTTCATTTTCTTAAAATGTATTAAGTAAAGTTAAAACATTTTAAATAGTAGATTTATAAAGACTGCATAAAGACATTTTGCTAAATGAAACATTCTTAATGTTACTTGGTGCATTTGGTAATTAACAAACAAATGAATTAAAGAGCTGCATGATATATCTTTTTCAACTTGCTGGCCTTGCTGTGTTTGACAACACCATTCTGACTTAAAGCCTCCAGTGAGGCCCCAGATATGTGCTGTGGGACAGTGACTGCACCCACATACAGGCACACGCTTAAACTGAGGAAATTAGCTGAGATTCTGGGGTGCAATAAGATGTGGCACAAACCTGCACAAAGCACATGATCACCTACTTAACACACAGCTTTCCATCTCAAATATAATCAGAAAGTGGCGCAGTTGTCAGCTGAGTTATAATTTTGTGTTTGGTGCTTGTTCACCTACATTTCTAATGCCACCCAGGACAAACCCATAGGAAAAAAAAAACTCAATAGGGTTTGGATGTTCTGATCTTAAAGAGCGATGTTGGTAGTGGAGTCACTTTTAATTTCTATCTTATCCAATGCAAAATATTGCTTGATCTTTTTGGTTTTGGTTTTTCTTTCTTCCTGCAGCTGGGTTTGCTACCAATTCCCAGGTTATCGTGGTTACCAATACATCCTGGAATGCGACCGCCATGGTGGCGAATACAAACACTACAGAGAGTGGGGCTCCCATGCTCAGTCCTTCCAGGTGCAGTCGCTGCGTCGGATCCAGCAATGAGGCCTGCAGCCGCCTCTCCCTACCAGTCACTCTTCGCCTCCTCTTCTTCCTTCTCCCCTTATTCATATTCCTCCATTCACCCAGTCATTCCTGCACCTTTTGGGGATTCCCAATTGAGAAGTTGACACAGTGTTTGTTTTGTTGCCGAATAAAAAGCACTTACAAGGGATGGAGAGGAGAAAATAAAAACTGATGCTGAGAAGCTCTGGACTGATGCCCCAGGAGGAAAGAAGAAAAGGGAAGTAAAAAGCCTCACAGTGGCAACAGAGCAGCGGAGTCACTCAGGCATTGCTGTGTAACTTCAGATGTTTGTGGGTCACTATGGTGATGCCGGTGATGAAAAAAGAAAGAATGGGCAACTTAAAATAAACACAAACTCAAACAGTCTGCTTCCAACCTGCAGGGGATTTCTTTTCTTTAACTGTTGCTTCCATAAAGGTTTGAGCTTCTCTGCCTTTTTTCTTGAAACCTTCAGTTGATTGTGAACTTGAATGAAGAGGGTTAATCTTTTATTTTCTTTTAAAGCCGCCAAAAAACAGACATTGGGTGAAAATAAAATGCAGCCAATATTACTGGTGGGACCTGGAGCGCATTAGTCACACTGCGAGTGATTAAGACATGCACCTGTAAATCAAGAACTAAATGGTTTTACCTGAGGTGCACAACACTTCTAATTTAAAATTCTTGATAGAGCACAGTGGGTCTCAAAATACGGCAGCCATCTGGTTCAGAATATAATAGCCTGGCCAGTATTACCCTATGACCACCCAATGCAAGCTACACTTTTGTTGATAAGCAGGAACTGAAAAAAAGAAGCTGACACCAGAACTTTGCAAAATTCTCAACACTGTGTTTCTAAATTCAAATGTTTTATTACATATGTCCATGTTTTGATGTTTCCTCAGTGGGAAGCTGGAAATGTTTTTTTTTTCTGTTGTTTTTGAATGCATTAAAAAGATTTGTCATCTATAGTACTAAGATAATTGTTCAGCTTTAATGTATGAGAAAGGAAAATAAGGAAGTGGAAGAGTTTATATCTCTTTATGACAGTATTTTTCCAAAACAAGATCAATTTATTACATAACTCAAAGTTAGTTTGTTTCCAATAGAAGCATGGACACAAAGTGTTTTTGATTTAGCTGTAGAAAAAAAAAAAGAAAAAAAAAATACAGATTTTTTTTGCTAACAATAATATGCAGAAATTGTCACATTCGGGACATTTTTCAAGAGTCTGTGGATGTAATATTAGTTTAAACTCATTTTTGCGCTGGCAATTTATTGGAAAAAGAGCCATGATCCAATAAAAATCAGGGTAGAGTGAAGTCTTTCACCTTAAACAGGCTGAGATAATATTTGTCAAACAAAATATGATAGATGCTGATATACCATCCCATCCATTAAGATTAGAGAAACTTGCATTAGCTTGTCAAAAGAACGTCTTTAGAAAGCAAATCTTTGAATACAAAATGTTTCAAGTTTGAAGCAGGACTGATCAGGAACTAACAAAATGAATACAATGTCATGAAACAGTTAATGTATAACTTGAGTTGACATAAAGTATTAGGTTAACCAGCTTTATATGTAAGTAAATGTGTCTTCCAATGGCTAAATGTTCTGATAATGGCTCCTGAAAGCTTCACAGCCAGCAGTAAACTAAGGCTCCATTTCCCAGAAGCTTTAATTATCTCTTCACATTAATGCTTTTGTCCCTGGCTTAACCAAAGGTTTTCTTTGCATAATTCAGATATTCTTTTTAGACACATTGGTGAGGAGAATAGCTTTAGGCAGACAGTGAGATGCACAGCTGGTTATTTGTGTGCACAACTTCCATCATCATAATTGCTGAATCCATTGAAAAACAGCGCTTCAACTTGGACAAAATTAAGCAATGTCTCAGCTTTTCTTTTGATTTTCTAAATTAGGTCATACACGTCCACAAACTGTTGTTACATTTACTTTTATGTTTAGTTCTTTTTGCAGAATTAAAAATATGCTACCATCATTACACACAAAGAATTTGCAGGAAAAAAAAAGACTCTTCCAATTGGAAAATACTCTCATATACCAGGGGATGATATTTTTGTGCATTTTCTGAACTTGCAGATATAAAGCAAGTACACCGCATAAAGCAGACATACGTAGTTTTTTTTTTTTAAGTCATAAAGTTTCCTCACTGTAGCTATATGAGTAAAATAAAAAAAAAAAAAAAAAAAGACGGCTGTATTTCACACCCGAAATCTCTCAAGTATGCGCGAAACATCAATTTATTTCATTGCGCTCCAGGCTAACTCTCCTGGACCACCTTAAGAAAAGGTTACGTCACATTGTAGCTCCGCCCATTGGGAGGTGAACGGAAGTGAAAGGAAACAGGCAGGCCAGAGCGGCCCTAACAGAGGAAAAACAGCTGTGACGCGAAGAAAGACCTTAAAGAAATAAGGAAAGAAAAACATTCGCTTCGGGTCTTCAGTTGAGGAAACCGGACGTTGCGGAAGTAGATATTAGCTTCAACATGGCGCTCACCTGGGAGCCTCTTTGGAAGACGTTGAAGCAGCTGGTGTTACTTTCCGCCTTGTTTCGTCTGGTTGTGTCTCAGGGTGAAGGCGAGAAGCAGTGGCGACGAAGCGCCGGTGCTTCGGACACGATAGAGACTTACAGCCACTACTACAATCATGTTGAGCTAACGAGACGCCTGCAGGCTTTGGCGCAGACCTACCCCCACATCGCGAACCTGTCGAGCATCGGTCGGTCTGTGGAGGGCAGGGAGCTGTGGGTGATGCGGATCACCGTGGAGCCCGACAAAGACACGCCGGGGAAACCCAAATTCAAGTACGTGGGGAACATGCACGGAGACGAGACCGTGTCCAGACAGGTGTTGGTCTACCTGGTGGAGTACCTGCTGGCTAAGTACGGGGAGGAGGACCGGATCACGCAGCTGGTGAACAGCACGGACATTTACATCATGCCCAGCATGAACCCCGACGGCTTCGAGAGGTCAAAGGAAGGGGACTGCGAAGGTGAAAACGGGGGTCGAAATAATGCCAGAAACAAGGACCTGAACAGAAGTTTTCCCGATCAGTTTGACGGGACAAGAGTGAGTCCAGACGTCATCCCAGAGGTCGTGGCAGTGATCAAATGGATCAAGGAGAAGAAGTGAGTTCTACTGTACAGATGTCATGAAAAAGTGGTCCTGGTCGCCACAACAATGGCCGATTATCTTATTTGTAAGCAAAATGTGTATTTCTAAGGCAAACATATGGAATAAGACCTCCTTAATGTAGTTCTATTCATGAGGTTATTCCTCAGTACTCATCTTTTTGTGGTTATGTTCTTTGTGACCATTTAAGCTTCCAGTTCTTGAGGTCGGGGCTATTTTTTTGGATCATACTTATTAGGGTTTGTCAGAGGAAGTATCTTCTATGGCTGGCCTAAAGCAGTGGATACTTGTCTCATGTTTACTGCGTTGTTTATTTATTTCTTATTATGTGACTAAGTCAAAAAGATGTCAGCTGACATTCACATTCAAAGTTTAGTTGTGTAAAAGTTTTGTTGCCAGTGACTCAGAAAAACAATTTTGGTAGCACCTTCACTTTACATAACTGTTCTCATACCTGCTTAGTGGAATGCTTTTCTCATGCTTTTCTATTTTAGATCAAGAATGTTGCCAGATGAATTCACATTTTATTGTATTTTCAAAGGCCTGAAGCCAGTTATTTAGAGAGATCTGCTATTAACTTACATCATCATTTAATAGATGTGTAGTTCACATGTGACAACATACGTTGACTTATGACTCAAGTAACAAAGGAGACTCAAGACAAACAAAACGGCATTGTGAAAGTACAATAGCATTTAATGAGCAGTTATATTTCTGTTTTCATAAAAAAAATTTGTTTTTAAAAATGAACAGAGTGCTTCACATCATCAGCAGCTGGGATGCAGACAGGAGCATCCATCTTTTTAGGCTGAACAGATATTCTTGCTACTGGCAAGAAAACACTGTGTAATTTGGGAAGTGCCAGTAAAAATGTGTAAAAACTTTAAAATCAATGTGTCTTACAATCTCAGATTGGAAGTTAGCTCTAGGGTGCGTGCTGACGAAATAAACTGTTACTCTTTCTGAGTTGTAGTCGTTTTGAATTGTTTAATTATCGCACTAGCTTACATAAATTGCTGCTCTCGTGTCCACAGGTTTGTTCTGTCTGGGAACCTGCACGGCGGCACTGTGGTGGCCAGTTACCCTTTCGACGACTCTGCCTCCCACATGCAAGAGGGCTTCTACAGCCAGTCGGAGGATGACGGTCTGTTTCGCTACCTGGCCCTGGTGTATTCCCAAAATCACCCTGTGATGAAGACGGGTCAGCCTGACTGTCCCGGCTCTTCCGGAGAAACCTTTAAAGACGGGATCACCAATGGAGCCAAGTGGTATGATGTGCCAGGTGAGTGGTTAAGCGGTTCAGCTGTTCATGTTAAAATGCTAAAAATAAATGTGACGGTGAAAGTCCTCTGCAGTATGATCAATGTGATGTCGGGAAATTAAAAAAAATAGTTCAGTTAGAGATTGCTTCAAGCCCTTATAATCTTAGTCATGTTTTTACAGCCACAGTCAGCTGATTTAGACTGAGTTCAGTTTTATGGATCACATTCTTTGTGCTGTCCAAGAAACGTCTCAATTACAGATGGCCTGCTGTTGTTTTTGACGTTGGCGTAAGTCTGTCATTTGTGGACATAAATCTCTCCCTTAAAGTGGCTGCGCAGGGACCGTCTGTCTAAAAACTAAGAATGTTTCTGATTGTCGGATTGTCTGCAGCTCATTCAGGAATGTTTTGGTGCACAAGCTGCAGCATGTTGAGGATGAATTAGATTCAAGTTGTTTCAGTTTATTTAATTGAAGGTGGGACTTTATTCTTTTATCAGAAACATGGCAGGATTTTATGTCTGTTTTTCTCTTCAGTATAATCTACATTCTGGAAAAGTTTTTTTTTGTGACATATCCTATAACAGATTTAACAAATATGTAAAAGACATATATTTTTATAAAAGTTACATACTCTAGCTTTAAATTAAAGATTGTACTGGTTCCATAATTCTCACATAAAAGTGTTTCTACTAAGAGATAGACTGTTAAACTTGGCAAATAAAGACAAATCAATCATTTCCAGAATATAGATTATCTTTGTTCCAAAAGTATTTCCATTGTTTGTAGTCAAACAGCCTTAAGGGACAAATATTTGTCATCATGCATATCTGGAAGCACTTCTTGTTTTATTGCTCTTGGCTCAAAAGGCATTTTTGTGGCAAGAAAATGTACTATTTTGCTTTGAAAGACAATAATTTAGAATCTGGTCTTTTCATCAGTCATTCTTTAAATATTTGTACTTTTTCTGCTTCCTAAACATGAAAATATACAGTATTCTTCTCTGAGGTCATTAATTCAACATTAAATTCAATCCCCTCCGTCCTGAACTTAAGTAGTTTTTAGTAAATCAGTCATAATTATGGTATGACTGATATTACAACTAATTTATGATCTTTACAAGCAATGTAAAGACAATAGAGGCTGGAATACTTTCTTTGCATATGACATGATGTTTCAAACAGTTCCTGCAACCCTTAACCTCTTGAACACCAGTAAGCTCAATATGTTGCTGCCAATGCAAAAGGAGAATTCCTGTCACTTGGAAAACAACAGCCAACAAAATTTGCATTTGTGTTAATAATTCGTCGCAGTCACTCAATGACGACATTTTAGAGTCGTATTGTGTGGCCCTTATTATTGGTACCGATGCACAGACAACCTGGAACAAATACCATTCTGTTTTCTTTTTGTTTCTACTTTTTGGGATACTTTCAGGTACAGTAACAATTGTGGGTCTGAAACCTGAAATTGGGTCAAGCGTCATATGTTACTTCTTTGGTTGACTTTTCTCGGGGCTGAGGATAGTGCTGTGCGAGTCTGTAGCTTCGGGTTTCGGCTCAGGTTTCCTGTGGCGACGCTCTGCGTTGTAACAAGTTTTATAATGAGAGCCCATCAGGAGGGAACTCCTTATGCATCAGCTCAGCCTGATTTAGTTGCCTTCATGAAAACATGGGTTCCTGGACCCAGTTTGCCTGTCGTTCTCCCTATTATTCTTACCAAGTTTATTGTATGAGATATGATGTATTATTTTATCCCCAAATTATCATTTTTATTTCCCGATTGTATTAATATTTTTAGTCAGATTTGTGGTCCAGTGTTTTTTTTTTTATGGTCCAGTGTTTTTTTTTTTATGTTCACACATTTAAATAGTTATTTAATGACTTACTTGTTTATTAAATTGTTACTTTTTGACCAGGCTTATCTTGGCTCTTGGCTGTCGAAAAAAATTAACCCACCATCAAGTAGAGACAGATTCTGCTCTTCATATGATTCAAGATAAGCACCACTTAGTGAGAAATAGTTAAATAAAGGGACGCCACTGTCCAAAATGTCACCTAAATTTGGACTCACCGGCACTGGATGGAAACATTGTCTGGAGGACATGGAGTGAGATCATGAGAAGCCGAGGCAAACTGGCAGGAGGGAGAGTGAGGAACAGAGGACGGTTCTGTTTGGCAGACAGAGCCTGAAATAATAATCCATCGTCATGTTTCACAATGATTCACTGTAATCTAATCAAGAGCTCTGCTGCTTCTTTAACCGTACAATAACCTGAAACTGGATTTAAGTTTTGACTTTTCAATTTAAGTTTTTTTTCCGACTAACGACTATTTCAAAAACCAAGTAGTTTATAGGATAATTGTTCCAGAACTGAAACCCTAGAGGAGTCTGAGGTCACTGCAGTCCCTGAATCTGTGCCGCTTGTCTTTGTTTCTGTGAACAGCCGACAGGTCTACTTAGAAAAACAGGTGCTTCTCCTTGGTGTTTGATTTTTATAGCTCAACCACTGCAGACATCCTGCAGTAAAGTGCATCCTGGTCTAACTCAGGTTTTGACTTGATTGTCTGTTCAGTGGTTTCCTGCTGCATTCAGGGTGTGACAATCTCCTACTTCAACAGGATATTTAAGCCCAGGTCTGCAGGTCTGTGCGTTTGTTAGACTTTGCGGGTGCAGGGTGTTTACTTTAGTGCTTTGCTTCAGTGACAGTTTAAGCAGATGTAGCCAGAGACAAAGGCTTATGTCTTCTGGTCAGTTTTATGCTCTATAGCTTTTATGTTGTGGCAGGTTGCTAATAATTTTCTGTCATTACTGAATGTAGACCCTCATATTACTCATTCTTCATAGGTGAGATATTTTAAAATATTTTACATATAGTTTGGTTGCCATGTTACCCAGCTCTGTCTCTTTCCTCAGAGCTTAAAGTCTCAAAGGTGCCCTGAAGGCAAATTTGAGTACGCTCCTCCTTCAAATAAACGCCGAGGCCGTGTTTCTTTATGTTGTGGGCTGGTTTTTATAACTGGTGGGTTTGCAAGCAGGTTATGTTTGTCATTTTCGTTCAACAGCAAGAAGGATGACAGTCCTTTTTCAACAGCTGACAGAGCACATGAACACTTCTGTTAGGTAGACCTGCAGCCAACCTCTCAGCAGGCACACAACTTAGCTGGAAGCACTTCTGATTGGGCCAAGCCTCCTTTGTGGCAGCAGCAGCGAGTTGGGCGTGTGACCTCCAGCAGCATGGCAGGAGCCCTGCTGTCATGCTGCGAAGTGGTTCCATTAAGCTTGTGTCAGCATTAATGAAAAAAATTTGAGTTAAACGGTTCAGCAAAAAAACAAAACCAATAAAAAACGATGAATGTTTTACACTGGCGTGTAGTAATTGGAGAACTGTTTTCTAGGTGTTGCCTTGAATAACCAGGAAAACTCCCGTTGAGATCCAGATCTGATTTGCAAGAGAAACCCTGGCATAAATTTGCAGAAATAGAAAATAATAATTGATTAAAATCTGTTGTCCATAACTTTTAAAATCAAAACACGCTGACAGCGGAAAGTTAGTTATTCTACTTATAAAAGCACTGAGTTGTAACCCAGTGCTGACAAATGCTATGCCATTCTGATACATTTACACTTAGCTAGCTGGATTACTTCAAAAAGTATAATTATGAAGTCGTGTTTTGCTATTCTAAAATGTACTTTGGAAGAGTCTTCAAAGAGTCTCAAAGTCTTAAGTCAAGAGCTCTAAAATTAGAAGGAATCCTGGAGTTTTTTTATTTAGAAAAAACGTTTTTCCTCTGTAATTGAGAATGGAGTGAGCTGGTGCCATTGAACAAGTTATTTTTCTGTGCACAGTTCTTGACCCCATTTACTCCGACTGCTTAATAAGGTTGTAACTGTTTGACTTGGTTTCTGTGGCCACCAAGCGTGCAGTCATGGCTGCTCTTAACCGATGGGACTTCTGACTGCCCAGAACTGCTCCACAGAGATGGTCAGCCTGCTCTCCTATGTGTGTTGACTTTACCAGAAGGTTCAGTGACTTGTGAACTGCAGATGCTTCATTGGACTTTTAGTCGCAGTAAATAATCTCTCACCAGAAGTATTCAAGTGTAAAGTCAAACCCTGACCTTACCATAAGAAATATTGTCTGGTAGCTTAAGAGAGTATCCAGTTATATTGTAGAGTATGACAAATTTTAGATGTGAAATTAGACCGTTGTAGTGTGTGATGTTTATGATGATGCTGTGTTATTCAGGAGGAATGCAGGACTACAACTACCTGTATGGAAACTGCCTGGAAATCACCATGGAGCTGAGCTGCTGCAAGCACCCTAATGCCTCTAAGCTGCATGAGGAATGGGATCTGAACAGGGAGTCCCTTCTGGCCTACATGGAAAAGGTAAAGCTCACTAAGAATAAGTTTATCCTTTAGAAACTAAAGCATCTCTCTGTCATCATGCGTCTCTCAGTACGAATCCTTTCTAAACTCACAGTGCTATTTTCTTCCAGGTACACATGGGAGTTCGTGGCTTTGTGAAAGATGCAGTTAGCGGTGCTGCCCTCAGCAATGTCAGCATTGTGGTTGCTGGAATCCGCCACAACCTGACCACAGCAAAATTTGGAGACTACTACCGCCTTCTGCTGCCGGGAACCTACAATATCACAGCTGTGGCTCCAGGGTGAGTTTCTCTACACATTTGGTTCAAAGTGAAGCTATTTATTAAGCAACCGCCTTTAAAGCATAGTGGCACTTTATTTATTCATTATGTCACATCGCTAGGTAATTTTAGCGTTCTCAGAATAAAGGGGCTAAATACAAATTCCTTCCACACTTCTTAGTATTTTATTAAAAACTCTTTGCATGTTCTTTCTTTTACTTCACAGTTCTGCACTATTTTGTGTCAATTTGGTGATTTTTCACCCAATATTTAAAAGAAAATGCCTCATCAATCTAGTGGAGAACGTTCTGGTAAAGCAAAAACCAGAATAATGACACAGTTGGGGTGTCGCTTTTTGTAATTTTGATATTAAAGCCTAATTGTTCTCAATGTGTCTTTCTCTGTGTATGCAGGTACCTACCAGAGACATTCAACAATGTTCAGGTTATTGATGGCAAACCCACAGAGATTAACTTCACCCTGCAGCCTGTTGTCAGTGAGGCTGCAGGTAAAACCCCCCAAACTACAACCTCAGCTCCACCCACCAGTCACCCCGTTACATCCTCCACGAAGGCTTCCAACAGCAGCCAAGCTCACACAGTTCCCACCACCCCTCCATTCGTCCCACCTCGTCATGAGCCCATCCATCCAAAAGAGTTTCGTCACCACAACTATGCAGACATGGAGCTCTTCTTACGAAAGTACAGCAGTGAGTTTTCGTCCATCACCCATCTTCACTCCATCGGCAGCTCTGTACAAGACCGGGAGCTGTATGTGATGATAATCTCGGACAACCCTAAAGTTCACGAGCATGGTGAGCGGCAAACTGCACAACACAATGAGAGCAGCTGCCCGTTTTTTAAGGTCTTTTATACAGGATGTGTATGTATATTGTTAAAGCATTGACATGTTTCTCTTTATCTCTTTCAGGGGAGCCGGAGTTCAAGTATGTGGGCAACATGCATGGAAATGAGGTGGTGGGAAGAGAATTGCTGCTCAACCTCATTGAATATCTGTGTCGCAACTATGGTACCGACCCTGAGGTCACTCAGCTGGTCAACAACACTAGGATTCACATCATGCCCTCCATGAACCCCGATGGCTACGAGGTGGCTGTCGAAGGTAAGAGAAATATTTACAGGCATACAATTTCAGCCTCCTGGAGACTGAAATCATATGTTTTCTTTAATTTAAGACTTTTTTAAGATGTAGCTTTTGGTAAATATATGGCTTTCATCCTCGTATTCGAGGATGAGTTATGCTTGCACTGCAAAACTGCGAGCAATTTCATTGCTTTGCAAAGTGTAGTATATCTATAGTAATGGATCTGGTGTTTTTGATACTGTAGCTTCCAGATGTCAACTCTCCAATTAAGACATGTGGAAAAAATAAATCTGTGATTTAGGGCTGCTACTTAGAGATGCTGCATATTGCATAAATAAATGCCCTGCTATGAAATAATTAAATAATTGCTACACAAATGCTATTGGAATGTCCAAATAATAATCTCATGCTACACTATGCATATACTCTGTCTTCACTGATAAAAATTCATTCACCTTTTGATAGTGCAGGGCACTTGGAAAAGTCTTTTTAGTGACACAGCAACTAGTTATTTGAACTCTTGAAGGCACCTATATCCTTTTTATGGTATTTAATACTGTTAGCGCAAGATAGTCAAGAGGTTATTTAAGAAAAGAAGACAAAAGGTCAACACCATGGAACAAAGGGATATACTCTTTAGCTGTATATCCCTTTGTTATACAGTTCTTCATGCACAGTAACATCAATTTAAGCATAAACAACGCAAACACACTTCCTAACAGAACTAGATGTTTTCTGAGATGCACATATTCAGACACCTTAAAGCAATATTTCACAAGTCATTTTTTCATTTGACTGTTTCAACATATTTATACCATTCAATTACAAACCATTAAATATATGTGTATTTGTGTCAAGTCTTTTATGCTTTTTCTGGATATCTGTCAACCGTTTTTTAAACCTGTCCTACAAAAACAAAAAAACCCTTTTAAAATAATTATGCTTCCTTTTGCCCATGCATGATGACTGTTCATGCATGGGCACAGGTTTCTTCAAACCTATGCCCAAAAATAGGTTGATTTATGGAATGATTCAAAGCAGCTTTAGCAGACGTTCACTAGTAAGTGTAGTAGCTGTTTTTATGTCACCATCTCCCTTTTTATTGTGAAATTCATGTGCCCTCCTTCAACTTCTGTGTTTAACTTTTGAGCTGCTTTTCTGTGTGACACCGTTTAGTCAATAATTATTGCAGAAGTACAAAAGGAAGCAAAATTTAAAGCACAAACCTTCAAACAGGAACATGCTTCAGTGACTGTTGCATAGCAGTGACTCATCACCTGAATCTGCTTCCCTGTAGGTGACGTGAAGGGCTACAGAGGACGGAACAACAGCAATGATTATGATCTGAATCGCAACTTCCCAGACCAGTTTATCACCATCACCGAACCCAGGCAGCCAGAGACAATAGCCGTCATGAGGTGGTTAAAGAGCACCCCGTTTGTTTTGTCTGCAAACCTTCACGGAGGTAAATACGTCCTTCAGTGTAAATGTTGTCATTTAATTAGATTTATACATACATTTTCTATTTCATCCACTAAACACCTTATTATTTAGCACCACAGATGCTTGTTAATTACACTAAAAAAAGCAACGAAATGCAATGTTTTTGTGAAATACAGGCTCCTTAGTGGTCAACTACCCCTTCGATGATGACAAAGAAGGCCTTAGTCATTACAGCAGGTCACCTGATGATGAAGTATTTAAGCAGGTGGCCAAAGCATACTCACAGGTAAATTAATCTCTTCCTGGGTAAAATATCTGCTCATAGTTTCATTCATGTGTTTATAAACTATCATCATATACCGTGCCTCACAGAATTATTAATACCTCTTCAACCTTTTCTTGTTTTGCCTTTTTAAAAACCTGATAAATTACATACAACCACAAAATGGAAAGAAAATAATACACATTTATCAGATTATTTTTTGCAATGAAGCAAAAGTTGAAAAAGACAGGCTCACTCTTGCCTGTTCAATCTGTGGAGAAATTTGGCTTTGAACATCAAAACAATTGAAGTCATTTAGTTGTTTTGTATTGAATTTGTGTGCAGGAGAATCCTCTCATGCACAAAGGTCACCCTTGTGATAACCTGTATCCAGAGGACTATTTTGAGGATGGCATCACTAATGGAGCCAACTGGTACACTGTTCCTGGTAGGCCTTCATTGCTCAGTTCTCATTGAAAGCCAACTATTTACATAAATAAATAGTATTTTCTTTTCAAGATTTGAAATGTGCTTTTCTCATTCCTGCTTTGAATGTCTTAAAAAAATAAAAATAGAAATGAGGAGTAAAGAGACAAATACTTTTTTCCAGTATTGTAGACTCCTCTTGTTACTTATCTTCAAACTAGAAGAGTCCGCTGCTGGACAGTTGGTAAAATGAAGGTCAAAGTTTGTCTGCCCTGGCTTTAATTATGGCTTTAGTCAGAGAAGTGAACTCAGTGCCAGTGCCAAAAATGATTAAGACTTCATTTTTCCCAGGTGGGATGCAGGACTGGAATTACGTCAACACAAACTGCTTTGAGGTGACCATCGAGCTGGGCTGCGTCAAGTACCCGCTGGCAAAAGAGCTGCCAAAATACTGGGAACAAAACTGGAGAGCTCTGCTGCAGTTTATGCACCAGGTACAAAAAGCAGGAGTTAACGATAGCATGTACTTCACTTTCACTATTTTCTACTTACTCCTGTTTGTTTTGTTGTTTGTCACTGCAGGTTCACACGGGAATAAAAGGCACAGTTTCTGATGACCAGGATAAAGTGGGAATTCCCAATGCCACCATCAGTGTGGGGGTAATAGACCACAACATCACTACAGGTCATACTGGAGACTACTGGAGACTGCTGGTTCCTGGGACTTATGCAGTCACTGCCTCTGCTGATGGGTAACGTTTTTATTTCAGAAAGTGAAACTCACCAGAGAAAAGGGTTCCCTTCCACTACCTAAAATACCCTTTTTTATTTTTATCTGTAAAGATATAAGCCCTTGACGACCTACGCTACAGTCTCAAAGGACCAGGCAGAGGTAGTGGACTTCAGGCTGACCCGCTTAAACTCGGAAAATACCGGTCAAACTGTTCCCCAGCTGACCCAGAGCCCATCGGACAGGGAGCTCTACAGCTTGATAAAGGAGCTGTCCCTGGACCAAGGTTTGGAGCAGCTGGTCAAGAGCACAGCCACCGATAACAACTTTCGCTACCGACGCCCAAAAGACCTGGAAGCTTTCTTGAGGGGCCTCACACTGAACTTCCCCCAAATTACATCTTTACACATGTGGGTATGCTGTTAATATTCAAAACCACTGACTTACAGGGTCTGGGTGCTAAATCGACTTTACTGATTTGTCAAATATTTGGTTTCTGAAGATTTTATTATTGGAAAATCTGTATTTTTTTGTTTTCATCAATAGGCATCTTTAGTTTTCATAGCTCAGAGTGGTGAGAGCAAGCTCAGGCCTCCCAGAGATTTTAATTTTAAGCCTTACTTCCCAGCATTGTGTTACCTTGTAGTTTTTAGAATAAGCATTCATCTTTGAATTGATCTCAAAGTTGTTAAGCAAGGTTGCTGCAAGGTTTAGCTTCATCTGCTGTTGACTGAGTTGGGCGTCAACGCATCAATGTATTTCTAACCATTCATGTGATTTTGTGTTTCTTGTGTTTAGACTGGGTGAAAGTGTAGAGTTTAGAAACATTTTGGCCCTGGAAATCTCCAACAATCCAGAAAAACCAGAGCCGTCTGAACCAAAGATCCGCTTCGTGGCGGGTATTCATGGCAACGCTCCTGTGGGCACGGAGCTGCTGCTGGAGTTTGCCGCCTGTCTGTGCATCAATTATGGCAAGAACCCCGCCATTACCAAGGTTAGCGTCGGTATCGCCCTAAATACACGGAGCCCTGCAAACATTTTATGTCAGCCGGCACAGACAAACTGCAACAGTCCACCCTAAAACATGTGTTTTCAAAATAGTAAAGTTCAAATGCATGGCACACTTCAGGCTTGTATTTGCAAAGAATGCTCAAATTCATGTATTTTTACCATGTTATATTTGTTCTCTACTTTCTGAGGGTCTGTCACATAAGATTCTATTAAAATACAACCAGACAGAATGTGAACAAGTTCAAGGGGTCTGAATACTTTGCATGCATTTTTATGCGCGTTAATTTGACTTCTGTACGTTTTCTATTCTCCAGCTAATCAACGAGACCCGCATTTTCATTGTGCCCTCCATCAACCCTGACGGACGGGAACAGGCAGCGGAGAAGAAATGCTCATCCAGCCGCGGCCTGACCAACTCCAATGACAAAGATCTTGACAAGACGTTTTTCGGTCTGTTATTTGGATACGTATTTATTGCTACATTTCCGTCAAAAACTTGTTTGGAATAAAATGCAGCTGAATTACATTAGACTTGATTAAAAGATCCATTTTCCTTTCCTGCTTTTAACAGGTAACTCATCGCAGCAATTGATGAAGCCAGAACCAGAGACCAAAGCAATGATGAATTTTATTCAAAGCAATGACTTCAGTCTGTCTGTCGCCCTGGATGGAGGCGCTCTGGTTGTCACCTACCCTTATGACAAACCTGTTCAGACTGGTAACACCTCTTTGTATAGCTAAACATTTTGTCTCATTATTTCTCTTGTGCTTTGTAACCTATTATGCCTCTTTACTTTAAGACAAAACTTTCCCACGGTGATGATGTTTGATTTTCAAGTTTTCATGATAATCCTCTCTTTATTATCACCAAACTGGATGAAATTAAATGTTAATTTTTGTTTTTGTAGTTAATAATGAAGCAACTTTGAAGAACTTGGCGAAAGTGTACGCCAAGAACCATCCCAAGATGCACCCCGGTGATACTGCATGTTCCAACAACGGGCAAAGTATGACTTGATTTTTATTAATGGATGTCATGTCTGTCATTTATATCTGTGAGTTAAGATAATCATGTTTGTAAACTGTCTGCTTTCACTGTACTCAGTGGGAAATGTCCCAGATGGAGTGATGAAAGCAGCAGAGCTGCACAGTCACATGGGGAGCATGAAGGTAAAACTTTTCAACTGCAATAAAAGTTTTTTAATGGAAGATTTAACAACAAAGTACTTTTTTATTGTGATTGGGTTGTTTGGAAAATATACACAATATGTGTATAGAGACACATATAAACTTGATTTATACCCCTTGATTTATATCCCATTGTTAATCCTTATGACTTAATATGAAGTTATTTTGGGAATGATTATTGCTAGGTTTTAAAGTGGGATTTTTGGAAATTTTCTCCCATTCTCCCAAGCATTTGTCAGGTCAAACACTGATGTTGGATGAGAAGGTCTGGCTCAAAATCTCAAATTCATCCCAAAACATTTTCCATTAGGTTTTGGTTTGGAACATATGGTGGCTGGCCCAGTCCTTTTAAACCAAACTTGCTCATTCGTGTCCTTCTGGGCAATGCTTTGAGCTGTGGGGCAGTTAGGAAGGGAATCAGGAACATCTCTGAACTGTATTCACTCACAAAGTGTTATTTCATCTTTTACTTTCTTTTATCTGTTATCTCATGTCACATTTCATTCTCATGTCATTCCAGGACTTCAGCATGGATTTCGGACACTGCCCAGAAATCACAGTGTATACTGGCTGCTGTTTGTTTCCTGCTGCTAATCAGCTGAGCACACTCTGGGCTGAGAACAAAAAGGCTCTCCTCAGCATGCTGGTGGAGGTAAGATTTTATTCTGAATATCTATGATTTTTAATAAAGTACTTTTATATTAAAATGTTTTGTTTAGCATTTAGATTTTTTTTTTTAATTTCTAAGAAAATATTTTAGTATTCCTATTTTTTTGTTGTTGTTTTTAAATTCAGTTTAAGATTGTCATTCACTTTCAGGTTGCTATTTACTTGAGTCTTCTCAGATTTTCTTTTTTATTGATTTACCTTTAAATCCTCCAACAATCTGAATTATGTAAATGTTTAACTCCCAGGTCTTTGTTCCTCGTATGGGTAATATCTACAGACACTGCCCTCAAGAAAAAAAGTAACTAACAGAGGAGTCTTATTAAGAAAAGCACATTCTAAAGGACGACTTTCTAAAAGTTTGGATTTATGACCAAAGCAAAATTCTTAGAAAAGCATTTTCAGATCTGGATATAAAAAATATCTGTATCTATAAATACAAATATTTTTGTATTTCTATTATGCAAACGTTACAAGCAATTGTTTTAGGACAGTAGAAATTGGTAATACAACAACCAACACATGAACTATCCATCCCTAATCTAAAAATATTCCCCATTATTAGTTCACGTTTGTATTTAGAAATTGGCTAAAAACTATGAAACCATCAAGTTTTCTTCGACAAAAAAAATTTTTTTTAGATCTATTGATAAATTCTGAGATTAAGAATTCTACAATTGTTAAAAAATAAATGTCACTTGAAAATGTCCTTTTTTCTGTTGTGTAATCTTATCATCTGAGTAAATTTTATGAAATTGTATTGATGTATTAAATATTTCCATAGTCTAATGGCATAGTATTAGAGGTGTGTCACAAACCATGGATGTTTGTGCTCAGGTCCATAAAGGGGTGCGTGGCGTAGCGAGGGACAAAAGCGGGAAACCAATTGTCGGAGCGACCATTTTTCTGAACACGATCCTGAAAGTCTCTACTAATGGGGGCGGCTACTTCCACATCCTCGTCTCCCCGGGCACCCATAGTATTGACGCCATCGCTGACGGCTATCAAAGTCACCATAAACAGGTACGATGTGTTTTACGTGCAAATACTTTATATATAGCATAGAAGTCAGAACTTAGAATAACATACAGTTATGTATGGAATGTCTGCATCTGGCTGCAACGGCCCTCGAAGCACCTCGAAGCATAGACTTTCAATGTAAACCAGACGCACCTGATGCTCAACACGCGCTTGGTGAGAACGTACCAAGATATTTGCCTGAAACCCTCTGCCATAAATCTGTGTAATATTACTTTTTTTGTTTGTGTTTAATAACTGAAATGAAGGTTTTACTTTCTTAACGCATCTCTCGATTCTAATGACTGACTCACTGGAGCGTTTGGAAAAATACAAACCTCAAAATGTTTTCTTTTAAATTGAGGATTTTTAGTTTAGAAATGACTTCTCTTTATCAGTGGAACCTCTAATATGTTCATGTATTTAACCATTAGTGTACAACATCATTTTGGAACGAGATGGATATAAAAACTTTTTACCTGCAAGCCAATATGTCTCACAAAAATTCACAATGAGGATTATAACACATTTCAAATTGTACAGATGTGGCTGAAAAACGAAACGACAGCCAATAGAAGTATACAGTAATACGTTTAACAGTGAGAAACCCCATGCTTATTATTGAAAGTCTTTGGAGGAATTTTACCACAGTTCCCCTTTGCAGTCCATATCTATAGAAGGTGTTGAACGAAGCACACAGAACCTCTCCGTCACTTCCATCTTTCCATCTGGGCGCTCTGAAATCTCCAGTGTCGGATAGGCCATCTCGTCCAGCAGGCGTTCCTTGATGACAAACCCCATCTCCAGGCTGTAATGCCTCTGCTTCCCACAGGGCCTGTAGAGTAGGGGATCCACCACAGAGTGATAGGTCTTCTGGAAGTCTTCCACTGAATAACCATGGATCATCAGAGGAGCACCTGAGGTCTCCTCCGTCTTGACGGCTTCGGAGCTGCGCAACTGATCAGAGAAATCTGGAATGACTGCAGCGTTCCTGATATACCTCTCATCCAGCGGTTTCTCGGGGTCGTGCTCCTCAAACATAAGCTGCGAACTAAATGGCGGAGCCAACAAGAAGTTCCTCTCCTTAACAGTCTGTCCATACTTTTTAGGGCATCGAATGCTCTGTCTCAACTCATAGGGGAGCATCTCATTTACCTGAAGAGAGAAATAACGTTAGTGTCAAAGATTCTGCTGTTATCAGAAAACAGTACAAAAATGTCCTAACAGTAGAAGAAGACACAGAGAGCTTCTACTCTGCAGCCAATCTCTGTTTGGGTTCAAATCATTTTACTAAAATGCATCTGCCTTGTTGTAATCCAGCAACTTCATCCTTCATGTGATTTTGTAAGTTACCTTTCAGCTGAATATATTAGGATTTTTTTTTCTCTCCAACACTTTTTTTTAGAGTTACAAACCTGCAGCAGGTTATACTAAACAGACACACCTGCAGAAGGAATCAGCTGATTAGATGATTAGATGATAACCGGCTCTGTTGTCAAAGAAGCTTTGAGAGATGGAGATGTTTCTATTTACCTTATTTAAAAAACAACATCCTGATTGGATACAAAGATGTGACCTTTTAATTTCTCTCCTTCAAACCGTAAAGTATGAGAGCATGAAACCAGTGCATTTAATATTTGCTTTACTTTGAATTCCTCAGCGCTTGATCAGATGTGAATAGACCAATACAGTTACCATTAAAACTTTCAAAAGTGAAGTTTCAATAACCCTGTATCAGCGTTCACTTCAGGTTGGAAAAAAAGGCCACTCCACAAACTTAAACAGTAACACATTTTGTTCATTGCTCCAATATGAATTATATATGATAAAGGAATGTTTGGTAATGTTAACTATTTGCTTTTGTTTTTTTCTGTTTTCCAGGTTGTGGTCACTTCCCATGAAGCTGCTGCTTTTGTCCTGATAGAGTTTGATGTAGACAAGAGCATATTTGGATTTCAAAGGGAGTTTGTTGTGGCCTGTGCAGGTAGTTATCAGAAGAGCCTTATGTAGATGGAGAGTTTTTATGCAAGATTTCATCCATCATGTTCTTGGGTGTCAATATTTTTACTGTAACAACTCCTTTAACATTCAAAACTTTGGTTTCTGACAAAATGTATGGTTGTCTTTTTTTTTTTTTACTTAAGTCAAGTTTGCCTAATAAGACTAGTAGCGCCACCTGGTGGACAAACAGAAAAGTTAAAACTTAATTGCTAATTCTTGAAAATTAAGCTTTACCATAAAGGGATTCATTTGTGTATGTTGTAAATGTAGAATCAAAATATTAACTTGTCAAAGGTTTTCAATAAGGCACAATGTTATTTTTCTTAGGAACTAATATGTCAGGTTTTGTCTTCTTTAATAAAATTTTAATGAAAAAATCTGATACTATTATCTGGCACTTTTAAAATGCATTCTGTAAACGGAGAAAAGCATATTATAAATGTCTCAGGACAATTATTGACTCAAAACAAATTGAAAAACAATGAGTTTTTGTGTGTAAGAAGATACAAACTCACACCTAGAAGTTGAGTTTTTAAAACTCTGCAGAGTTTGAACCTACATCCATCATATTGGTATTGTTAAAAAGGTACTTTAATACTTTTGGATTAGTTTGTTTTGACACGCAAGTCACTGACAACACTGTGACCAAACAAACTTCCAACTTTTTGTGAAAGATAAAACAAGCTTTAAGCCTCTGAAATTACCTTAGTTGTACTGAAAATGTACAATCTGTGGTTAAAAGCCTTAGAATGTTTTTTTTTATTGTTTTTTTTTATTCAAAGTGGATTACAGTGTTTAAAAGTCATTATAGCTGTTTGTTTTTATCATCACTGCATGCTGGGGAAGAACAGTTGAAAGCATTAAAATCCCACAAAATCAGAATATCAGCAAAGAGGAATGTATGTAAACTTCTGACCAGAACTGTCCTGAAGTCATCATTTCATTTACAGTTAACTTAAAAGCTGTTTTGTTCTAGGTGAATAATGTTTTCTCTAGTAAAATTAGTTTTTTTTTTTATGCAGATGAAAATGTGTAACAGTGCGTCTCTCATTTTGTATTTGCAGCTGCCACTATGACAGCACTGGTGTTGACGGCGTGCATCATTTGGTGCGTGTGCTCAGCGAAGTCCGACTATCAGAAGGACGGCTTCCACCTGTTGCGGCAGCACCGCGACGAATACGACGATGAAATCCATCTCAACTCCATGGGCTCCAAAAAGTCCCTGCTCGCCCACGAGTTTCAGGATGAAAGCGAAAGCGATGAAGAGACACTTTATGCGAACAAAATCTGAAAGATTTGCACTAGTTTGATTCAGTGATTTTGCTTTTTTTTTTGTATTTTGCTCTTGATTTAAATCCTTAAGGATCTCATTGAACTCTTCATATTACAGTTTCACCGTCTCTCTTTCTGAATGAGTGACATAAGCATTTTCTTTGTTACATCAGTTATTCTGCTGGTGGACTCCTGGCTGACCAGCAGGGGGGGATGGAGGACGACAACAATGATGATGAACACAGAGTGAATGAAGAAATTCCTCTCCAGCCTCATTGATTGTTTGCAGTGGCTTCTTTGTTTTCTGAGGCGTTCAAAAAGGCCTCTGCTTGTTCTGCCCAGTTTAAAGGCCAAGCTGTCAAGTCCAAGTGAACTCCTGAAAACAAATCTAACAAGAAGTTCTGTTTGGCCCAAAATGGATCTTTGAAATAAGCAACAATTTAATAATCCTGGTAATCCAGTTTTATTTAATTTTTAATTTTTATTTGTTGATCCAAAGTAGAATAGCTGCACTGAAAGTGTGCGAGCCTTTGGGAGAACGACTCCAACTCCGTGGTTTGGCTTCTGTAGGTTTATCTGTCCAGTCAGACTGAAATAGATGAGACAAAGCTCCATTTGCTTTCAATAAACTGAGTTTATGCTTAGAATTGATTCATCCAGTAGTCTGCTGAGGAGAAAGGATGAAAAATCTTTCTCGTTAACTTTTTGGCACAATTTTAAGGTGACTTGCCTGAGCGCTTATCAGTTTTTATTTTTCAGGCTTAAATGACATTTGCCCTGTACTGGTAAATGCATCAGGAAAGTTCACCTGAACTAAGGGCTTTTACTCCACCAGAGCGGTTCCAGTTCTAAAATGGTCAGAGTATTTGCTGAAGTCTGGTTCTTATAGAGCAACAACACTACCGTGAGTGCCATGTTTAAAAACTTAGTTTAGTTTTTGAGCTAATTTAAGTAAAATAAAAAAGGTAGAAACTCTGGATAAATTATTAAGAGTTTCATAATCAGTTGAATAAGACTAGCTTTTTGTCTCCCTGTGTTTTTTTAATTTTATTTTTTAAGTTTGATTTAATTGATAAGCTGTTGAAATTAGAGCCTTCATTCATAGATAACAGGATTTGCATAAGCCGGTTCTCTCCCAGGAGATCTACTATTTACTGGTTAAGATGTTCATGGTGATGCAATGATGTGGCATCAAGATGGCTCCATGGCTGTGGAAAAGTGACCAGTTCTTTTGATACCAGTTAAGAACTGCCTCTAGCACCACTGGAACCACTTTGGTGGAACAACCCCAGAACTGGAAAGCAAACACTGTCTGATATCACTGCTGAATGGGGGGAAAAAAGAAGCTAGAGATATGTAGTGATTGTATTTATCATTCCCTTTTTTGATAAATTTATGTTTCAGTATAATTTTGTTCTGTATATGGAAAGTTACTGCTGGCTTTTAGTTGTCCCGTTATTTGCATCATAACCTTTTATTTTTAGCTATACTTTGTTTTCTAACATTTTTGATGGCAAAATACTTTCATGTAAAACCTGGTTTGTTTGCCAATTAATTAATAAAATACATAAAATGTATTTGTGCCCTACAAATTAAAATTGTAGCTCTCAAACCTCTGATATTATCCAGGTAATATGCTCCTCAGTTATCTTCAGGTTGTAACTTTAACTTGAAGTTACAAAAGTTGTTTCTCGCTGACTCATTCTGTGAGAGGCAAGTTTCTCCAAAGACATTGGGAGTCATATGGAAAGCTTTAAAATGGTTGAAAATATGGGTATTTTGTGTCTCTTTTAGGTTTTCTGGCTTCATAAATGTAATCAAAAGCATTTCAAAACAAGCCAGATAAATCACCAAAATCAAAAACGGGATAGATTTGCTCAACTTTGAAAAGCTCAACTGCTGTTGGTTGCTATGAAATCACTGGAAGCGCATTGGGAAAGGCAAATGCACGGTTTAGCAGCAACATACTCTTGCTCGCTCCCACGTATACCCTGACCTCTAGCGATTTTCACAAGAGATTATTTCTTAAACTTGCGTTGGGAGACAGTTTTGTAAATTACTTTTCTCATGCTATGTTTGTGAAGCCCCTTTGAATTCTCTATGAGCTTTGGAAAGTGTCACACAGTCTGGGTGTGAAGATGTTATATAAAGAAACTGGAACTGTAAATATTGTTTGCCAATTGTGCTTGGTGCTTCTTGTGAATCCACACACAGCAGAACATTTCACCAGAGCCTTGATGTGATCTTAATATGCTAGCATGCACAACAAACATGCAAAACTACACAATAAAACACCTGACAGCCACATGTCTTGCTTCAGTTATTTTTTTTCCAGATATTGCATTGTAAACTAGCAGGCCATGAAAGAGAGGAAAACCTAACTTAATTAGAGATATGTAATTAAGAAGGCGGTGGCAATTATTTTAGTAAAAGCGACATGGTGTCCTGTTTATTGGCCTTTAAATCTAATAACAGGTTTTGTCACATTGAGGTGTTTCTCAAAGTTCACTGAAAACAGAAAAAAATTGTTTTGGCTTTTTATTTGAAGAGCTCATCTTTAATTGATATTCTTGCAAATATGTTGTGAACAAGGCATCCTACACAATTGCACGTGTTGGTAATTGGTTTATATCCGGTAAATCTATATAAATACTGGTGTTTGGTAGTTGACTGAAAACCTAATTCTGTGTAGTCAAAATGAACACAAATGTAAAGTCCTGTTTATATATGAGAAATAGAACTGCACACCACAGGTAGAGATGTACTTGAGATTTATATTTATTTAGATACATTAAAACACACACACACAAAAACAACATTGTTTATCAGCTTTAAAGAATTGCGATAAACCAAATGCACATCACAGTTTTCAGATTTTACTTTCAAAAGCTCATTGCTCCACTTTGTTTCTCTAACACAAAATATGGTAATATAGTTAATGTTATTGTTGTAATGTGAACAATCTTGAAAAGTTCAAGAGTTAAGAATATTGTTGTAAGGCACTGCTCAAGAGCTGTACCAGGGACTTTTTAAAGCCTTTACAAATCCTTTTAGCCATTTCCCCTTTTCATTGCGCAGTGCAGGAAGTGTCTGTTTGGGTTTTTAAAAACATATTTTACAAAAAGGGTGAGCAGGCAATATTCCTTCACCAGGGGGATAAATTAATTTAGCAAAAACAGCTGAACAGCCACACATTGAACATTATCATCTTTCTCTCATACAAGTAGAATAGGTAGTATACTTGATTAGAAAAATTTTAAATTGTTTTAAATCCTGGCTTTGCTTTTAAATAGGGTATTTGAGAAGAGACAGAAGACATAATATTAACAAAATATGAAGATATTGATTTCAAATCAAAAGTTGGTAAGGCCCTGTTGGCACAAACACTAACCTACAACAAAAAACATGGTTAAAAAGTAAAATTACAATATAAATATTATATAATATATTTTTAATAAAACTATACAATTTATAAAAAGCAATATGAGATCACCAATAATTTATCACAGTCTGCATGCCTGACAGTCTGAGTTGAGGGCGACAAAATCCCACGCCTTACGTCCTCTCTGCTGACTTGAAGTTGGTGACGTCGCAGGAAAACAAAGATGGCAGGGATAGGAAGCAGCAACTACTGGGAAGGTAAGGAGCCTGCGGCTTTAACTAGTTTTAAATACATGTTTCACACAACAACATCTACTTTCATCCAGGTAATGTCAGGAGGCAGGGTGCGCGTTTTGGCGCGTCATAACCTGTGTTATTGAAACATGTACACGTCATACAACAATTAGTTAGCTCCCAACAAGCTAACGCACATCGCCATGTAACTGAAGCCAGTGTTGCTCCCTAAGCTGTTAAATCGGAGACGGTACTTTAAACGGCTTACCAACTTGACACGAAGGCACGTGTTGTTTGGTGTGTTTGTTTGAAAACAAAAGGACGACAAAAATCACACGTAGTTAGCCGGAAGAACGTTAGTGAGGCTCTTTCACTTTAGTGTGAAACAGAAACGGGCTATTATCAAACGGGGCAAATGTTCCCGCTTCACTGAATCAGAAAACAATAAAACCGTTTACAAGATAAAACAGTTACCTCAGTATAATCACATTGTGTGGATACCTACAGTTGATGACTGAACTGTTCTTTAACCATAGCTAATGTGTCAAGCTGTTTGTTTTTCTTAATGTTTTGCTGATTCTTGTGTTACAGATCTGCGAAAGCAGGCCAGGCAGCTGGAGAATGAACTTGACCTGAAGCTGGTCTCCTTCAGCAAACTGTGCACCAGCTACAGCAGCTCCAGGGATGGACGTCGAGGAGAGACGTAAGCACAGCCACAAGTCCACTTTCATTATGTTTTGTTACAATTCACAATTTATCATCCCAAGTTTCACAGTTGACTAACTGATAGAAAATAAAACCTTTCCAGGACAAACTACTGTTGACCTCTACGTGTCAGATCTTTTGTTTACTGATTTTAAAAGAAACTGACTGGTATATGAATGTTCAATGGTATATGAAAGTTCAATGGTATATGAAAGTTTGAGTTACTATAACTTAAAACTGATTTCTTTTAATTATTTTCAGCATTTTAATGGTAAAGAGTAGCTGCCATAGAGTTGTCATATAATGTCACAGTAAAAGCAAAATTAAATAAAGAAAATTAGCAAAGTTTTTTTGAAAATTTGTCTATATGCTCCTGTTGACAGTGTATGGTATTGATTTATAGAAATGTTAAGCAAGTTGTGTAATTGTTTTATGCAGTGGATGCAACATTAAATGAGACAATGAGTCTCAAGATATTTTTTTACCTACTTAAATAGAGGATTGTATACGTCAACTCTTAAGCACTGTGGTGGATATGTGATGATTTAGGCTTGTTTTCTAGATTTATGCATATAGAAATTCTTGGATGCCTTTTGACACAAATATGTAAACAATTCACTGAGATGTGCTGTGTATAAGTGTGATTTAACACAGTTTAAATGTGGTATTCTTTAAGTAAATGGTAAATTATTCTTTTAATTGACCTATTGACTCCTACTGACATGATGAGACTAATGATCACTCAATTATCCGTAACTCAATTCTTTGATATTATCAGTTTTGAATATTTTTGGTTTGTCATGGTATAATTATGCCTCGGAAATGTATATTGCAAATAAGATTGTTCTAAGTAGACTTTCTAACAGCTCTCAATGCCTTGTTTACTTAAAGTTCGGACACCACACCCCTGCTAAATAACTCAACCCAGGACAGGATGTTTGACACCATGTCTGTTGAGATTGAACAGCTACTGGCAAAAGTAAGTCTTCCCTCTTTAGTGATGGGACATTAAAAAAGAAGAGGCTCAATCTTGGATACAGTCTGCCTTATGTCAGAATTTCTTTGTTTTTCACTAGATTATCCCCTTTCTTGTCTTTTTCAGCTAACAGGAGTGAACGACAAGATGGCAGAGTACACCAACACCCCGGGAACAGCTTCTCTCAATGCTGCACTCATGCACACGCTCCAGAGACATAGGGATATTCTACAGGTTAACCAAATTCTTTGTTGTCATCTTTATGTTCAAGATTTCCATTGAATTCATTTTTCTTCTTCCAAAGCAATCCATCTACAAATAAATTAAACCTTCACTGCAAGTAGGAATATTGTTTAGGTGTTTTCTACAAGCATGTTACATATGAACTACTTATAAAACTAATAACATGATTCTATCCAAATTCAGACAGGATGCTACAATCTCAACAATATTCAGAGCCACGAGTGGAAGTCTTTGTAAGAGTTCACATTTGTTTATCATATACAGGCTCTAACTGAGATAGAAATCCTTATACATGTGCATATTTGAAGTAAGATGAGGTGAAGACAGTTGTAAAAAAAAAAAAAACGTTATGAAAAAACAAATCATTGCCTCAAACAAACAAGCAAAAGGATACATAAAGCAAAAACAGCTTTATGTAATGTCACTAGAGTTGAAAACATTCTTCACAAGTTTAAAGTTAAAGTCATATCTGAATATCAATGTAAAATTGAGGTGCCATCAGATTAATGAGAATGCAGATTGTAATTTCTAATATAAGGCATGTACTTAATAATGAAAGACTCTTTATTATCTGTAAATTCTCCAGCTTCTCTATCCTATCCTATCAGAAAACCTAACTTGAAATGAGGGATGAATAATTTTAGTTGGAATTAAAATATTCTGTGATGTTTTTATTTTTTTTTATTTTGACACAGATATTTTACTTTTACTTGTTTCTGTTCAGGACTACACTCACGAATTTCACAAAACCAAAGGCAACTTTCTGGCCATCCGGGAAAGGGAAGATCTTTTAGGATCTGTCAGGAAAGACATTGAGTGAGTACTCAATCCTCTGTTCATTCACCTACATTTAACTTGGGAGGTGCAAAATTATAATGGCAACTAGATCCAACTTGGATGCTGAGTACACTCAGTTTCGTACAAACAGAAGGAATGGACGAATGAGCAGTTTCACTCTCCGTTTATGTCTTATAGGTCAGAATATAACAAGATGCACATATGTTTATTTCATTTGCAAATCATTTTATTTTGAATACTGGTTGGTTTTTCAAATGATCATAGACCTTTATTTGTGTCCATTAGCATTCAGATATCACACTTAATATTTATCACACCTGAACATTATACCCACTGCTGCCTTGCAGCAACTGTGTGAAATATGCATGTTCTCCCTGTGCATGGATGGATTCTCTCTGGGTACTCCAGTTTCCTCTCTGACCAGAAAGATAACTCTCAGGTTAATTGGTGACACAAAATTGCCCTCGGGTAGCTGTAAGTAAACTTACAGTGTGCTAAGTTGTTAGTCCTATATGACTATGTTACCCAGTGATGGACTGGTGATCTGTCCATTGTGTGACTGCTTGAGATATGTGCCGACTCAATAATATAAAGATGGATTGCAAACACAAGGTTCAATGAAAAATAAATCACAGACATAGGTCCTTGCAAGTAATTTTACAGTTTTAAGAGAGCAAGTTACATTTGATTGTAGATAAATTACATATAGCTATTTTATTATTGATATTCAGATCCATCTGTCTCTCCTGTCCTGAGTGTCAGCAAGTGAACTCTTTTTCACAGAGCTCAGATGTTGTTCAGATTGTTTACTGGATAGGAAGATGAGCCAAGACTCCGACCTGACTCGCTCTTGGAAAATGTTTGGTATTGAAGCCTTTGAAGATTCATAGCATGCTTGGCTTTGCGTTGAGAAGGTGCACCTTTTCTTCAGATTGACTGATTTCTGAGTGAGTGTATTAAAACGAGCTGG